GGGCCATGCTGCGAATGCAGTCTCGGGTGGTTTGGTTGTGAGCAGGGCTGGACACTGAGCAGGGGGTACCAGAGGGTGGCAGAGCCCTGACCGGCCTGGCTTCCCATGGTGCTATTGCCATGGGGGTGCAGGGCGGCGTCTGGCCCCTGCGTAGGGAGAAATGGCATCACCCACCATCAGAAGGTGTCGGTTGCTGAGGTCCAGGGCCCACCAGCTGAGCTCAGAGGAAGATAGGCCCTTGGAGAATGACTCTGGAGACCACAGCAGTGCTGCGTGTCCATGTGGCTCCCCAGACGGAAGTCTGCCAGGGGACGGGGGTGGGGGCAAGAGGAGCCATCCGTGAGCCTGGACAGTACCACGGAGCACCTGTGTCTCTTCCCGTCCCGACCCCATGCCAGCCTGCATGCAGGCTCCACCTCCCAGCTTCCACAACACTCCTGTGTCCGTGGCCTGCTGTTTCCTACTGACTGATAAAGAAGTCAACTGCAAGGAGTCCGTGACCGCTGGGTTGCCCCCGGGCTCTCCTGCAGGCCCCCCTCTGCACCTCCCTCTGCAGAGGCCACAGCCTCCACACACCCTGTGGGGGGTGCCGACTTCCCCCCTTGCCTGTGCCCCCTGCCCTGCTGTTAGCACTTCTCGTAGGCCCAGGGCGGTTCTGTGCCTGGAGCGCAGCTGTCGCAACTCTGCCCATCCTTCTGCGAAGCTCCTGTCCAGCAAGACTGGCCTGAACCCTCAGGGCAGCTCATACCTTGTGCTGCTCTCCCAGGGACGCCCTGCTGCTTGGTGCCGCTGCAAATAGCACCACCGGAGTGGATTCCAGAGGTGTATTTATTGACCCTCAGAATTTTCTCTAGTGGGAAAAAAATGCTAAATTTAAGACACAAATGTGCAAAGTGCTTTATTTACACAGGAAAGTTGCACAATCAGATAGGAGGTTGACGTCTACGGTTGGTTAACTGTCACCCACGCTGTGCAGGCCGCGGTCATGTCTGCATAGGTCATGGTCATGTCTGTGTGTCCTGTCTTCTATTTAGACTGTGTTGAACCAGCTCTGGGAGTGGCCTCAGCTTCTCATGTTCACCCAGGTCCGGGGCGGCTGGTGCCCACGCACAGTCTGCCATAGCAGGTGCACCCGGGAACAGTGCCATGGGCCTCCTGGGTGGCCGAGGGGCGGGTGCTCTCGTGTCAGTCATCACTGTCACCAGAACATGCCTGCGCCATGGGGGGCAGGGCTGCTCCTTGGCCTGTGGGAGCTTTGGAGCTGTCAGCCACGCAGCTGCCGCCTCTCAGCACACATGCCGCCTGCAGAATGTGACCCGGCCTGCGCCTGTGATCTTGTCAGGCACATGCCACGGGGAAGCTGGTGTCTGCCCCTGTTCACATGTTCATGCAGTGTGAACAAGCTTATACATACCTGTGCTCACCCAGGAGCCCCCCTGCCCACCTCCTACAACCTATGCTGGGCTAGACTCATGGGGCTCCTGGGAGCTCACGTGACCCCTGTGTACCTCAGGAAGCAGGAGCTGGAGGTGTGTTCAGTACATTTGCTGTCACTGTGCCCCTGGTGACAAAAGCATCAGCATTGTCGGCCTTCATCTTGGCAGAGGGAGAAGAGGGCATCCTGGTCGCCTCTGCGAGGGGCTTTGTCTCCAGTCAGCGCACGGGGTGTGTGTGTGTGTGTGTGTGTGTGTGCGCGCGCGCGCACACCCCTGTGGGCAGGAATGAGGTGACGCTCCAGCTTGGAGACCGAGTGGCTTTCCTCGTGAGATGGCTGACCCTGCCACCACGGTCAGGGCGGTCAGGGACCCCGCATTCTCCTCCACAGTTCCCTCTGCCGCGGAGTCCCGGGACCCGTCCCAGTTGATACGCACGTGTGCCTTCCGAAGCTCTCGCTGGCCTCATCTGCCCCAGACATGCTGTCTCCCGGGCGGGCCCTGGTCCCTCCACAACCAAGAGCAGAGCTTCCACAGGGTCTGAGCCCACCAGCCCTTCCTTTCCAGTGCTGTCCCTACCTTACATCTGAGGGAGCCTTGTCACGCAGGGGCACCCGTTCCCATCCACGACCCAGTCAGGACCCCTGCAGACCCTCGCAGAGCGGCTTGCCATTCCCTCTCTGCCTTAGACACTCTCCTGCCTGCCCAGGTTGGCTCCTGTGCCCTGGCTGTGTGTGTGCATCTGTGACTGCTTGGTGGTGAGCTGGGACAGTGATGAGTCTTACTTATCTTTGCCCATGTCACCCAGCACAGGTGGTGCACGTGGGAGGTACTCAGCAGGTGCAGGTCGTAGAAGCTACCTGGAGGGAGTAAGGGAGCTGTTGCAGGATGACTTGACTTGGTGGGGTGACCAGTTGGCTGACAAGATCTTTGGAGGAGGAACGTCAGAGTGGAGGAGCTTACCATGTAGAAGCACGGCATGAGACAAGTCGGGAACCTCTCTGTCTTCACTCGCTTCTTCTGCTCCCTGGAGGAAAAGAAGAAACAAGTCTGAATTGGAGATGCGCCGTCACCTTGTCTGTCTGTCCTTCCTTCCATCATCTACTCATTAACCCTCTGTCCACCCCGCCTCTCGACTCTCCTCTTTCCATGAACCGTCCAGCCTGCCTTCCTGCTGTCCATCTGCCCCTCCGTGCCTCCTTTCGTCCAGTTCTTGGGCATCTTCTCTGGCCCAGGCACACTGCTGAATCCCCAGAGCCTTAAGTTCCGGGGCCGATCTGGGCCGGCACGGAGTTGTCATGCCTCCTGCTTGTTCTTTGTCTCAGCTGAGTGTGGAGAGCGGGGAGAGGATGGCCCAGGAATGGGGTGGCTACAGATGGCAGCAGGTGGAGCAGCCTCTTGCAATGGACATGCACTTTACTGCAGTTCAATAAGAGATCACAGGCGTCCCTGGGGAGACAGACAAGGCCGTCACCTGATGGACAGTCAGACTCCACTTGTGCGGTCGGGACTTGAGTCGGTGTAAAGAGGGCGTCGCTGAAACGTGTGCAGCTTCTCTGGGCAGGATTCACTGCTTGTCCCTTCTTGCTGCCTGGGTTCTTCAGACACCCATCTCTGAGCTCCTGAGCCTCTCACTGGCCACCCTGTGGGGCCCATGGGCTGCGTAGGACTTGAGTTTGCTCTGCGGGAGCCGTGGAGGGACCTGCTTGTTTCTGAGCCGGGTGTTGGAGAACCTGGAGGCTCTCCACCCTTCACAGCTGCACTGCCTGCTGGATCCAGAGGCAGGGGCCAAGCAGAGGGGTCAAGGGATGGGGAAGCAGCTGAGCAGAGCTCATGAGCAACGGGGCTGGGCACATGGCTGCCAGATCACTGACCGTGACATTGCACAGATTGGAACGCACGGGGTTCTGGCTTAGGAGGTCTTGGTCAGGGCCATCCCTGCTGCGACCGTGGCTTTTGCTTGCTGCCCTGCCCAGGAGTTACAAGAGCTGAGCTGGCTCTCGTAGAGTGAGAACAAAGGAGAAACGTCCCCGTAAGAGCAGCTGAGCCCTGGCTCCTCAGAGGGTGAGAGGGGCTGAAGCCGATGCTTCTGCAACACTTGCCATTAGGGTGGACGTTGAGGCTCCCCTGCCACAGGCGGGGCCAGGGGTGGTGCTGAGGCCTAGGCCTGGTGCCCTGTGCTACGGAGAGTGCGGGGACTGGGAGGTGGGGCTCTGGGCTCAGTCCCTGTCCCTGAGGCCTTTACTGCCTTTGTAAGGTGCCACTTTCTCCCCGAGAACCGTCCCGCACCACCCTGCCCGCTCACGAGGCATCCGAGGAGGTAGGGACGGGCAGGAGCGTGGAGCCCTGAGCACAGCTCCACCCCCCAGGGAGTGGAGAGCCCAGCTGCTCGGAGCCACCGCCCTGGACGCGGCTGGGTGCCTTCCCATCTCAGCTGCAGCTGGAGGCGGGTGCCTGGGAGTCTTCCCCGCTGGACTCCAGACCGTGGGAATGGCTGCCGCCCGGCACTCTGCCCTCCAGCCCCCGGGCCACCCTGTCATTTTTGTCGCCATGGTTTAATCTGGGTTACGCCGAGGGCAGCAGCAGTCTCGCGGCACAGTTTTGCCACCCAGTGTTGGCAGCATGAGCTCAGACGGTGACCTCAGCGCAGTGGAACTGCCCGCGAGGCAGACGGGCCCGTGGAGCTCCCGTTTCCAGTAAGAAGCTTATTGTCATCGCTTGCAGGAACCCTGAATGGCTAACATGGGCATCAGCAGCAGGGATTGGCTCAGCTTGTTAAAATAAAACCACGGTCGCTGACTCATTTACCAGCTCACGGGTGGTATCGCTCTTGGTGACGGGTGCCATTCGGGAGTACCTGGCAACACGAGCAAGCGAGGTCGCTGGCTGCCACGCCCACTCCCCGGCCTCCCAGAGCTTCCGCCCAGCAGGGCCTGCAGGGTGCAGTGGGCCCTGGGGTGGCAGAGCTGAGCAGGACTGAGTCCCAGAGGGGCGTCCTGAAGGAGGGCTGCCCAGTGCGTGCTAGGAGGACAGCGGCCACGCCACTCCAAGGGCTGGGTGGGCAAAAGGGACTCACCTGCTGCTTTCGGCGCTTGGTCCAGCCCTGGCTGCTGTGGAGTGTGGCCCTCTGCCCTGGCCCCTGGGTGCTGGACCAGGTGCTCCCCAGCCTTTGGAAGCAGAGCACGTCTTCTGTCCCGTGACTCTGCAGCGAGCTGAGCTGTCAGGGTCTACTCGAGACACCTGCTCTTCCTGACATGACCACTTTCCCAGCACAGATGCGGCCCCTACTGGTAGCAAGTGTCTCACCACTCTGTCATCCGATCACAGCAGTGTCCCTTCGACTCCCTGCCCTGCTGCCTGAGATCGGGGGACAGCCTCTCTGACCCCACCTGGGTTGCTCTGGTCTGGCCCCTCCAGGCCCTCCTGGGGCCCCCTTCAGTCCCAGTCTTCTCTACTCTTCGGTGTCCCATAGGTCCCTGGCCAGGCCTGGTGCCTGTGCAGGCCGAGCAGGCCAGCTGGGCTGTGAGGAGAAATTCTCACCTTTGTGTTTTGTCTCTGATTCTCCAGCTCCAAGAAACCCAAGAAGCGCCCGGAAGTGGCGGCGAAGGCCCAGCCCTCGCAGCGGCCCCGGCCCCGGCTCACCATCTTCGATGAGGAGGTGGACCCTGACCAGGGGCTCTTCAGCCCTGGTAGGAAGGTCTCCTCCCAGGGCCACGTGGAGGACGAGCCTCCCACAGACCGTAAGTACCCAGGGTGTGTCCCCCCCGCTCTGGTATGGGCTCAGTGACCGGCCGTGTCGCCCAGCGGGCTTTGGATCCGTCCTGCACAAACAGGGTGCGAGAGTGCCCCCTGCTACACTCGGGTTAGCTAGAGACCAGGCTGATGGAGATTTGCCTCTGGAGAAGCCCAGCCTCGCACGTGTCCCCACAGTCTGGAACATTCTGCGGCTGCACAAGTGTTCCCAGCACCCCTCAGCAGAGGAGACGGCTGTCTGTGTTGCCTGGGTTGCATCTGGAGTTCCTGGAGCCTCCAGTCCGCATGCGGGTGGGACGTGGGCTCTGGCCAGCTGTGAGCCCGCGTGTGCCTCTGGTTTGTCACCTGCACCGAGGGCCCAGTGCAGAGCTGGCAGATGGAAAGCCTGCAAGGACTCGAAACTGAGCCAGGCCCTTGTCGAGCCACTGTCCCCTCGCCGTCCTCCTGTCCCCAGCTGCACCCTCTCCCAAGTGCCCAGCAAAGCCAGACCCGACCCTCCTCACCCTGCACCTGGCGCTGAGGGTGGGCCACGGCTTCCTCTGACCGCTCTGCCGCTGCCTCGCCCACAGCCCTGAAGCTGTTCGATGATCCTGACCTTGGTGGGGCCGTGCCCCTGGGTGACCCCTTACTGCTGCCCGCTGCCCACCAGAGTGGAAGGCCCGCATCCAGCCCAGGCCCCAGAGCTGCCTCCGAGGAGCTGTTCAGGTACCACCTGTCCCAGTGGGGCTTTGGCAGCTCAGGAAAAGCCGGGGACCCGTCCTGGGGAGGGAGCCTGGCCTGACACCCATGGGAAGCTGTGGCTGTACATGGCCAAGAGGGCTCCGGGGTGCAGGGCTCCAGGAGGAGGGTTGCTCACCCAGGGCAGCCTGGCCGGCTCCAGAAAGAGCGAAGTTCATGCACACAGCAGTCTTTTTCTTTGTAATAGTTTGTATATTGTGATAGTTTACATGGAAGATCATGGAATCATAACTTCAAGGGCAGCCGTCGCTGGCACGAGCGAGTTGGGGACTCTGGGCAGCGTGCGGCTCTCTGGAGGGAGCAATGCACAGACGTACTGTCCACTGGCCTGTCTGCCCGGGTGGTGGGCATCAGCAGGAAGGAGGTGGCAGGAGACAGCGTGCATAGATGATGGCTGCCGTTCCCGCAACTCTTGGTGAGCGAGACCCAGCGCGTGAGCTCACAGCAGCCCCCACGTAGGTGCTGTCCTCTGCGTTTCTCAGAAAGTGGACTGTGGGAGAGGTCCCCTGCCTGAGGCCACAGCTCCTGCCACGCTGTGCAGGCCACCCCTCTCCATGGGGGCTCTCGAGCCCTTGGAGAGGAGGCCGCAGGTTCTCCTTGGCTTCTGTACACGCTTGGCTTTGTGCACGCCCCGTGCCACAGGGCTGTGCTGGGTAATCTAGGGAGGCCGAGCTGCCTCTTTCCAGGAACAGTGGCACCGAGGCGTGCCGTCCCGGGAGGTTGTCATCCGTGCCCCTCGTTAGCAGTGTGGGGCGCCCGCCAAGCCTGAGTCATCGCGACAGCTCCTCGTATTTCCATATCCCCAAGGTCCCTGGCATCTGTTCGCTCTCCCACTGTGTCCTCGCCCCGACATCCTGGCAGGCAGGGAGCGGCTGGGAATTTTTGTTAGGGGGTGAAACCAAGGCACAGAGAGGCAGATGCTGGCACCAGCCCCAGGAGTGGCAGGGCCATACTGTGCGGGTCCCCGTGGGGCAGCATGCGTGGGACCTCGGTGGCATCATCCGTTCTAAAGCCATGACCTGGTGCCCTGTGTTCTGCAGAGCCCAGCGCAGTGAGGGTTGAACGGGGCCCTGTGGCTGGGTGGTGAGCAGATTCAGGTTCTTGCTGGGCCCCGGGGCCCTTCCTGTGTGCTACTGCCTCTCAGCCTCCTGCAGCGCCTGGCGAGTCTCTGCACCCTCTTCATTTTACACACACCCGGCGTCCCGAGAGCAGGAACCATGTTCCGTTCTTGTTTGTGTCTGCCCTGTGACTGTCCAGGCAGCAGTCGGCTTTCTGTCGCAAAAGACCCTCCGGTGGTGACTCATCCACTCGTGCTTTGCCACCACGGCCATTCCATCACTGGCCTCAGCCTCAGCTGTCCCCGGGCAGCAGGGGCGGTGCCCAGCAGGGCTCTGGCCACACGGGGCCGACCTTTGATCTTGATCTGGCATCTCTCAGGTTGACCTCTCCCTGGCTGGGCCTGGCAAAGAGGGGCCTTGGACTTGGCATTCATGGAACCTGTTGTTAGTCGTGACCCAGGGAGCCCAATGGTAACAGGGTGCTTGGAAAGGGGGGTGCCCTGGGTGTCCCCGCATCCCAAGAGCCACTAGGCCGGCACCGCGGCTCACTAGGCTAATCCTCCGCCTTGCGGGGCCGGCACGCCGGGTTCTAGTCCCGGTCGGGGCGCCGGATTCTGTCCCGGTTGCCCCTCTTCCAGGCCAGCTCTCTGCTGTGGCCCGGGAGTGCAGTGGAGGATGGCCCAAGTGCTTGGGCCCTGCACCCCATGGGAGTCCAGGATAAGCACCTGGCTCCTGCCATTGGATCAGCGCGGTGCGCTGGCCGCAACGGCCATTGGTTCAAGGAAGACCTTTCTCTCTGTCTCTCTCTCTCTCACTGTCCACTCTGCCTGTCCAAAAAAAAAAAAAAAAAAAAAGAGCCACTGGACCACCTCCTACTGTGGCTGCCACCCACCACCGCCCACCTCAGAGCAGATCCTGCTTCTGTTCCGATCCTTCCCAAGGATTCAGCTGCTTTGCCAAGCAGCCTAATGTGGAAGTCTGAAGCCAACCAGCTGTGGGCTGCTGCTTTATTTCCCCAGGTGCCTCTGTTCGAGGATAATTCAGTTCCCGTGAGCTTTTCCTGGTGAGGGTATGGGGGAGCCGGCTCCTGCCCCTTGTTGGCCAGGAAGGGCCATGTGCCTGGTGGGAACTCGGGAGCAGCCTGTCCTCGGGCGGAGCTTCCTGAACCGGACCAGAGCCCAAGGTGGCCGCTCTTTGTGAAGGCCTGGCCTGGGCTGCACCTGCTGCATCTGGACCAGGAGGACACCTGTGTTTGTTTCTCGGCCATCCACGTGGGCTCCGGATTCTCTCGGTCTAGGGGAGGGGGCTGTGCCAGAGAGTGACTCTGGGAGCAGGCAGGACAGCCCTCAGCAGCTGGTCCTGCACACGCACACAGCCTCTGCCAGGCCTGCGGACCAGAGAGTGGCCCTGGTGAAAGGCGCCTCCTCTGCTCCTGCACCTTCCCAGCCCTGCTGGCGTCTGTGCAGCCGTCGGCTGTATGGCCCAGGCACGGACCCTGCGGCTGCCTCCCACCATCCCCTTCCCACCTCCAGACCCTTGCTCTCTGCTGCTGCCTTCTCCAGAGCTGGCTCAGCTGCTGCCACTTAGCGTCCCCTCTGGTGGCCCTTGCCCCTGTGGCTCCCCTTCCTGCCTGCCAGGGGCTCTGAGGGTGAAGTGCAGTCATGCGTCCAAGGTGCTGGGCACAGAGCCGCCCGCAGTGACAGTGGCAGTGGCGGCCATTTCTGAAGGGGCTGCAGGGGCAGCACCTTTAGGGTGGGCTTGCTGGCTCCCTGCAGCCGCCCAGCACCCATGGGGGGCGTGGCTTTGCCAGGGCTCCTGCTCCTTTTGCAGGGGCTGACCATGCTCAGGGCTGCTCCCTTTGGTCCCTCAGAGTGGAAGAGGATTTGGACCAGATTCTGAACCTGGGGGCTGAGCCCCAGCCCCAGCCCCAGCCCCAGCCCAAGCCCAAGCCCAAGCCGCCGGTGGCAGCCAAGCCAGCACTGCCCAGAAAACCAGCACTGCCCCCCAAAGCAAGCCCCCCGGAAGCCGTGGCAGGGCAGCCGAAGCAGCAGCAGCAGATCCAAGCCATGGACGAGATGGACATCTTGCAGTACATCCGGGATCACGATGCTCCTGCCCAGGCCGCCCCCAGCCTCTTCTGACCCCCAGCTGGTGCCGGGCCGGGCCTGGAGGCCCTCCTGCCTGTGTGAGTGGAGGGTGCCTGGTGGGATGCCGTGGTGGCCCCCTTGGGTATGCTCTTCATGTCCAGGGCTATTTTTAATGAAATCTCCGAGGGAGGGGAGGGGACCCCGAGCCCTGGGACCCTACACTGCATTGCTCCCTTTATCCCAGGCTCAGGGGTCAAGCAGAGGTCACCACAGGAGCCCACACTGTCACAGCTCACGTCGGCATGGAGAGGAGAGTGAGTGTGGGGTGCCTGGCAAGCCAGGAGCCCGGCCCCAAGGAGAGGTTGGATTTGGGGGCAGCAGCTCTGGGAGGGCGTCTCCCTTGTGCCCTCTGAGTCTGCCAGCCCAGCATGGAACAGAGGACCCAGCTGGCCTGGTCCTGGGCTGAGGGTGGCAGGTCCCTGCGCTCAGGGTGGGCGCTGTCGTGGGCCTCCCGGGAGAGGGATGCTGGGCAGGAGAGCCCAGAAGTCTGGGGTGTGCTGATGTTCGCCCCTCCTGAGCCTCTTCCGGTTGCCAGCTCTATGGGGACAAGTTGGACCCCTGCCAGGCCCCAGACTTCCTCCCTCTTGCTTTCCCAGGAAGGGCCTGGCCAGGTCACGGCCTCCTTGGGCCTCTGCACACAGAGCCAGCATCCACCATCGCCCTCTCAGCAGAGTGGGCCGTGCACGCCCCAGAGCTCTGCTGGGCCTGGGGCTTGGGTGGGGCTTCCTGTCCCCAGGGGTATACAGTGTGCTCAGGCTTCTGCTCCTCGGTGACCTGTCCCCAGTGGGGCACGTGCCAGGGCAGGCCACGGCCTCAGGTGTCTCCCAGAGCTCAGCGCCCTGATCGCTCAGCGGGACGTTCCAGGGAGCAGAGGAGGTCAGGGTGGCCTCCTGCATGTGTTCTTCCCGTTCAGAGCCAGTTTTTAATGAAACGCCATCATTAATGAGATGCGGTCTCTGGTGTCCATTGGCTCTGTCCTGCCTCCCTGTAGGCCTGGAGATAGCCCAATCTCCAGTATGCCAAGCTCCTCCCTGTGCCAGGACCTGCAGGGCCAGGAGCGCTGAGTCTGAGCTGTCCCCTGTCCCCTGGCCAGTCCTGAGCAGGCCATCTTGCCACCCCTGCCCCAGCAGTGGGAGAGGATCTGAGGTGGTGGAGCAGGCTAAAGTAGTGCCCCTCCCCATCCATAGGCCCCACACTCTTGCTGGAGCAGCAGGAGGCCACCCACCTCGTGCTGACTCCAGCTCTCCCCTCCCGACCCCTGCCCCCTCCCACTAGACTGGGTGGAGTCAGAAAGGAGCAGAGCGGGGCAGGGCAGGATGATGGGAGAGGCCTGGTTCCCTGGCCAGGCGCCCTGATGGACCTGGCCTGCCCTCTGGCATAGGTTCACCTGCCGTGGGCCCAGCCTCCTCAGGGTCTGGTGGTCTCTGGACTCCTCAGGGAAGCATGGGCTCCCCAGAGACCCAGGCTCCAGCTGTGGCTCAGTTCTCAGTTCTCACCTACAAGTCCATGAGCTGCTGGCCCGTCCGTCGTCCTGTGCACTCTCTGCTGGTGCTCATTCCCACATCTGTTGCCTGTGCCTTTCTGTGCCTGGGCTGAGGGACACGGGGCAGACGGACGGTGGGGCTGTCCTTGAGAACCCCGGGATCAGGGCAGGCACTCGGCACTCCCACATCTCAGCCACGTGCCTGGCTTGAGTCCGGACTCCGTTTCCAAACCAGCTACCTGCTGACGTGCACCGGGGGAAGCAGCTGGGGTTGGCTCAGGTGCTGATCCCTGCCACCTACACGGGAGACCCAGGCTAAGACCCGGGCTCCTGGCTTCAGCCTGACCCAGTCCTGGGTGTTGTGGGGCGTTCAGGGAGTAAGCCAGAAGGGAAAGCTCTCGCTCTGTCCCCCGCCTCCCCTTTCTGCCTTTTGAGTAAAAGTTTTTGAAGAAAATAAAAAAAATATTTTGGAATAAAGCAATGGACTCAACCAGGCTGCTGCTTGGTAGGGGAGGGAGGGGAAAGGGAGGGTTCTGGTCATTCTTTCCCACCATGGAACTTGAGGCAGGAGGCCCAGGGACCTAGGCCAGTAACTGCTCAGCCAGGACCTGCCTGCCCCCCAGCCCTCACCTCCCGTCTCCCCAAAGCAGGGACCAGCAGGGATCGCTGTGGGCTTGCATCTGGCCTGAGGCCCCTTCACCCCCAGGGCAGGGAAACTTGGCCTGGCCTCCGCCCTCCTGCCAGGGCCAGGCAGCTCTGCAAGCTGGCGTGCCCTGGAGAAGCGGCTGCCCAGGTAGTTGGGGCGGCCACAGGCTGTGTGAGCTGTGACTTGGGCTGGGATCTCGTAGCTAAGATTGGAGTCCAGGCCCCAAGGACGGGTGGCTGGGCTTTTGAGAGAAAGACTGTGCAGTCCCAGAACCTGCAGCAGAGGGCTCGCTATGGACAGGAACCGGGTTTTGTTTGGGACAGCGACACTTGTTTATTTTGTAAGCCTGTTGTGAGGCTGTGGACAGGATGTACCGCCCGTGGCTGGCGTCCCACGCTCCCTCCCGCCATTGTTCTCTCAGGAAGCCGTAAACTCGGGTCGGTTGGTTCTGGAAAGCCCCCGTGCTAGGGCGGGTCCTGGCCAGGCCCGTGTCGTGGGCTCCGCCGGAGAGTGGCTGCCTGTCGAGTTCTGGTGTCCTGAGACCTTGTCAGTGCAGGGCACCTGGGACCCAGTTCACCCCGCGTGCCTGCTGGCTGACCCTGAGGCCGCAGCCCTCAAGCCAGACACAGAAGAGAGGGTACAGTCCAGATTCCGTGCCCAGGTGGGCATGTGTCAACATCTCCGGGCGGGGCTGACGTGGAGTTGAACTCAGATCTCCAGGTCGCCAGCTGCCCAGCTCAGCACCTGCTGGGAAAGAGGAGGGTTGGGCTAGCAGCATGTCCCTTGGCCTGTGGCCCTAGCTAGACAGCAGGTGCATCCCGGTGCTGCTTGTTTCTGTGTGGGTGCCGACTACCCAGAGAGGCATGGACAGCCCTCATAGCCCCTTGATAGGCCAAGCTGTGAGCGTCAGGCTTTGGATGGTTCCAGAAACTGCCGGCTGCTGGCTCCAGACCATCCCCACTCACCTCCCTGAGGCCTGTGGCTGGGGGAAGCTGAGCGAGGGGCCAGCCAGTAGGTAAAGCAAAGGTTGGTCGGGCTCCGAGGACCTGGAAGGAGCCGGGTTCCAGTCCAGCCCTGGCTGTGGTGCCCCTCAGCTCAAGTGCTCAGTGAGGAGACGCACTTGGGCTTGTGGGAAGGGGCCAGGTAGACTGTGAAGTCCTGTTCGTGCCTGCGGGTGTTTCGGCAGGCTGGTCACTGTCCCTGTCCCCAGAGGGAGCCTGCCTGGGACTGGCCTGGCGTGTGCTGTGACTCAGAGTGCAAATAGCCATCTCTCCTGCGTGGCTGACCTTGGCCGAGACAGCCAGGGAACTGGCATTTTTGGGGTGACACCTCAGATAAAGCTGCACTTCCTGGAATAGGGGTTGCGGGGTCTCTGTTGACAGCTGTCAGAGGCCTGCTGCCTGCACAGCCTCCGGACTGCTTCTACAGTAAAGCCATGTTGGCTGTCTGCAGCCCAGCTGGCCAGTCCCCTTGCCTCTTTTCTCTCATAGAGAGCTCGAGCCAAACACCCGGTATCCATTAGGCACCTGCTGTGTACAGGGACTGTGTCCTGCCAAACATGGGGAATCAGGCACAGGGAGGCTTCGGAAAGCAGAGAAAAAGCAGGTCAGCCCACCCAGCTGTGCTGCATGCCAGCCACAGAGTGGGACGGGAGACCAAGCCACTGGGAGCAGGACCAGGACCCAAACTGCGCCGTGTGGAAGGCACCACTGTGGTGCTCAGGGGACACCAGAGTCCAGGGCAGCCAGCAGGGAGCATCCCCAGGGACCGGCCACATGCAGGGCCTGTTCCAGGCACAGTGCAGGATGCAAGGATGGAAAACCTGAGCCATTAAAGCTGATCCTACCAGACGCCACGCTGCACCCTGGTTCCGTTCACTTCTCTGGGCTTTCTTCCCAAACCTCAGACACAGCTAAAAGAGGTGCCGCCTCCTCCACGCAGCCCTCTCTGCCACCTGCCACACCTGCACAGCTTGTTGGGTGCAGCCAGGGCTCAGGCTTTTGGTCTTGGCGCCGGTTTCTTGGGGCTGCTGGGACAATGCTTCACAAACTGGGTGGCTTCAAACGACAGTGTGGATTCTCCCATAGCTCTGGGGCCAGACGTCTAAAGTGAAGGTACTGGCAGGGCTGTGGTCTCTCGGAAGGCCCGGGGCACGGGGTGGCCAGCCTTGCTCCTGGTGGCATCTGGAACTTGATGGCACTGCAGGGGTCCTGAGCTGGTCTCTGCATTACTCCGCTCCGTGCCTCCGCCTTCTGTCCTGTGTGTTTACACGCAGCCTGCTCTGTGACTCCGAATTTCCCTCTTGTAACAACCCCAGTCATGGCTCTAGAATGCCCTCCTTATCTCCCATGGCTTCATATTACCTCGATGATATCTGCACAGACCCTATTTCCAAAGAAAACGATCTTCTCGTGTTCCAGGTGGGCCTGGGTTTGAAGGGACACTCTTTGGCTCAGTGAAATGACCTGCGTGCCTGGCACTCAGCAGTAAACTCAGGCAGGCAGCGTCCCATCCTGTCCCGCAAAACCGTGGCCTCTGGTTGGCAGGCACCTGCGTTTTCACAGCCTGTCCTAGGGGGGCGCTGTCAGGGCAGGGTAGCATGGCTGGACACGTGTGTGATGATGAGGTCTGTCTTTGGCAGCTGCCAGCAAAAATGCTGGAGCCTGTCAATCTAAAGTCCCATGTCTTTACAGGGTAGTGAAGTAACTTCTCGGAGTTATATGGGGCACGAGATGGAGCGTGGGGGTGCAGAGCTGTGCTGGTTGACAGTGGGAGAGCAGCTTGCCTTCCTGCGGGGTGGCACAGCTTCGGGGAAGGCTTTCCCTGGTTGGCACCTGCTGCTCAGAGCCTGGCCTGATGGCTTCCCCAGGCAGCCAGCTCCTGGGGCTTCCCTCCCCATCGTCCTCTCGCTGGGCCTGTGAGATTGGAAAAGCTCTGACGGAGCTGCAGTGCCTGGACCCTAAGGCTTCCTTTGCCCCTGCCATCTCCGGAGAGCGGGCTCCTGACGCCTCCCCGTGTGTAGTACGTTCCTGGGCTTTCTTTTGGTTTAAGAAGTCGCTTGGCTGATTTCTCCTAATGAGTGTGCTAGGTCCCAGAGAGCTATGTTTTGAAGACTGGGGAATAGAACAGCTGAGTTCTTGTGCACCTGTTTCTGGGCTTATCCACAGCGGCCAAGGGGCCAAGCGTGACTCAGCGCCTGCCTACCAGGACCTCGTTTTACTGGTCAGGCTGTGTGAAGACTATTGCAATAGCTTGGTCTGGGGTGGGGGTGACCCTGGTTCAAACCAGGTCGCAGGCTGTAAAATTCCATGGGAGTAGCAATGGAACATGCCTCTGCATTTTGGTTAAATATATAGTACACACACACACATATATGTTTGGCTAGTTTTTAAGAAATGGAACATAAACTTACTGTACCCCCTAGCAATTTCACTCTTAGGTATAGACCGAAAGAGAACTAGAAGCACACGGAGTCTTCAGAAGCTTGTGGGAGATGCACATCTTGAAAAAGCTACGCCTGGACCTCAGAGTGCTTTACACCAAAAGAAACTCTGGTGGTTGCGTTTTCCGTGCACTTTGTGACCACCCTCGTAGGGCCTCCTGAAGATGTGCACACAGATGTTAGCAGCTGTGCTCACCACAGCCAGAAAGCGAGTCCTTAGCTGTCGGCTGGACAAGCAGCATGCTCTGTCCGCAGGGTGGCTACTGCGCAGCCTTGGGAGGGGCGGAGCAGTGATGCACGCCACAGCCTCACACTGAACCCTGAAACCTCGCCGAGTGAGGCGGCCCGGCTCAGCGGAGCACACATCCCTAGGGACCAAGTCAACCAGGAGTTAGCTCAGGCTGGGGTTGGAACGAGCGGTGGCCAGATGGACAGTGATGGGCACCGAGGATGTTCTTGGGTGACAGAAACCGTCTAAAATCTGAGGTTTGCACAGTTCTAAAAGTTTACTAATAGGGCCAGCGCTGTGGTATAGCGGGAAAATCCACTGCCTGCAGTGCTGGCATCCCATATGGGTGCCGGTTTGAGTCCCGGCTGCTCCACCTCCGATCCAGCTCTCTGCTGTGGCCTGGGAAAGCAGTGGAAGATGACCCAAGTAATTGGGCCCCTGCACCAATGTGGGAGACCCAGAAGAAGCTCCTGGCTCCTGGCTTCGGATCGGCCCAGCTCTGGTCATTGCAGCCATTTGGGGAGTGAACCAGCAGACTGAAGACCTCTCTCTTTGTCTCTCTCTGCCTCTGCCTCTCTGTAACTCTGCCTTTCAAATAAATAAAGGTTTTTTAAAAAGTTTACTAACATTTAATTGTACACATAAAATGGATGGATTGTTATGGGCTATAAATTATTCATCAATAAAACTGTGAGAAAAATGTAACGACTGGAAAAGCTGCCAAACCCATGGACAGGGAAGTGCAGAGCTGGTTCTGTGGCTCTGTGGCCTCCTGGCTGTGTGACCCGGGGCAGACAGTCACCCTCTCTGTGCCTCAGCCTCCTTAGCCGTAAGGGAGGGGAAGCAGTGGCCCTTGCCTCTTCGGGGTGGTGAGAAGTTTAAAGAGAGCTAGTATTTGTAAAATTCTTTAATCAGTGCCTGGGACGCGGTACCCTTTAGGTGAGGAGAAATCTGGAAGTGTGTGGGGAAACTGGAATTAAAAGGCAAGTTTGTTTCAGTGCAAAAAAGTTTTGGAAGCCGTGCAGTTTTTTCATATTTTCACATTTTCTGTGAATTTCATAAGACACAATTCTGCGTGTGAAGAATTAGGTTTCTGTTGTGCTAACAGGGACTCCAGGGGTTAGGTGCCCCCACTCCCCCCAGCAGGGAGGGCCCAGCACAGACCCGGGGGCATTGCTGTGTGGAGGGCGGACACGGCAGAGAGGAGAGGCCAGGTCCTTTGCTGCCTTCCCTTGGCTTCTCCGAGACCCGGGCTGCCCATGTGCAGGTGACATTGGCTTCCCGCACCTCGCTGCGGAGTGGGGATCAAGGCAGACAGCCCAGGCAAAGCCCCTGGAGACCCACAAAGGGGGCCTGGTGTCTAGGGGTCTCCGGGGAGTGACCAGGAGGCACTAAATCTAGGGATGCCGTGGGCTGCGGGAAGGAACCGTTCTGACCAGGAGGGAGCCCGGCCCACAACACAGACCAAGTGTGCTTGCCGGCACCATGGAGATGGAGAAATAAACACACTGCCCTCCCTCTCTCGGCCCTGACCTTTGTCAGGAGCAACTGCTGAGCAGGGCAGGGAAGAACGGTCACCGAGGGAGGCTGCGGTGGCCCTGTGGCCTCAGGGACAAGGGAGGGCCTGGAGGTGCCTTGGGCTGCTTCCCGCTCTGGATTCCCTGAACTCTTCCTCCACTCCCTGTGGATGGGAGCAGGAGCGGCCCGGCACACGCCTCCCTTCCAAAAAAAGCCACACACACATGCGTCCGTGAGTGTTAGTAGTGCACGAATCCCATCAGTCCCCCTCCAGCCAGAGGGAGCCCCCCAAATGCCCATGAACCGGCGTGCGCGCACCCCTCCCAGCGCCGTCCAGCCATGCAGAGGGGAGCCTGTAACACGCCAAGCGAAAGAGGCCAGACCCAAAAATTACCCTGTAGGAGCCGTTTCAGTGAATTCGAGAAAGGGCAAAGTGACAGAAACGACGGATCCACGGTGGCCAGGGTCGGGGGTGGGTAGGGAGCCCAGGGCGATTGACTACAAGCGGGTAGAACAGAACCTCTCGGGATGGGAGTGTCCTAGAACATGAGGATGGCTGTAAACGTGCCGGACTGCACGCATAAAATGGGATTTATTTGCCGTATGTAAATTAAAACCTCAATCAAGCTGTTCAAAACAAAGCCACGGACAAAGCCAAACATTACCATCCAACCCAGCAACCGTGCTCCTCGGGGCTTTCCCAAAGGAGCTGAGAACTGGGTTCATGCAAAGCCTGCACGTAGATGTGTGTGGTCGCCTTACTCGTAACTGCTGAAGTCGGGCAGCCGCCTGGAACAGCTGCACGCCGTGAGGGCCACTGTGTGACAGCCAGAGGCCTTCCCGAAGGGGACAAATCTGCGGAGACGGGACAAGGCCGGGGTGGGGGTTAGCTGACTGGACTTGTTCATTCTGGCTTCTGTTTCTGGGGTATGCTCCGAACCCACTTGTGTGTGTGTGTGCGCATGCATGTGTGAGCGTGTGTCTCAAGCCTCTGCCTCCACAGCGGTCCCTGGCCTTGGGGGTACGGGCAGCAGGCTGGGCTCTTTGGGGCTGAGAGGGAAAGGAAGTGGAGGCGGCTCCACCTGCCATGGAGCCAGGGGCCCTGGAATACCTGTTTCCTGGAGGGCCCTCAGTTCTCTCTGGGGCCAGTGGGGCCCTGGGGTTGGGGATTTGTTCTTCCTGTTGCCAGGCAGGCCCAGCATGGCCCTTCTCAGTAAATCTGATCTCGTCAGCTTCCTACAGCTTCTCAAGACTTGAGCGTCTGTGAGGTGCTCTCCGCCTCCGTGGTCAGCGCCGTAGGTGAGGGCCAGGCCGGAGAGATGCTGACTGGGGGGGACCGCATGAAAGAGGCTCGAGAACTCCTGAAAAACCCTTAGTTTGAAGGATTCGGCATTTGACTGGGAAGTGGAGGCAGAGCTGGGGATGTGGGTGTGGCGCAGGCTGGAGCACTAAGCAAGCAAAGGCGGGGAGACAGATACCCTGGAGCCAGTGGGGAGATGAGCCGTGGGCAGAGACTGAAAGCCTGCTCCTAAGATGGAGAGAACGAGACAAGATGCCCATTTGCACATTGCACTGGGTGTTCCAGCCAGAGCAGTTAGGCAAGAGAAAGAAAAAGCGTGCAGATCGAAAAGGCAGTAAAATGTCTCTATTTGCATATGAACGCAATGTGATGAAGAATCCGCCAAAACACTATTACACATATAGCTAATACATGAATTCAACGAAACTGAAAGATACAGTATTACCATGCGAAGATCAGTTGTATTTCTATGCGCACAGTATGAAAGTGAAGTTAACAGTTCCATTCACAATAGCGTCAAAAAGAATAAATTACTTGGAAATGGATTTAACCACGGAAGTGAAAGACTTGTGTGCTGAAAACCATAATACTTTAAGAGAATTTACAAAAGACTTAAGGAAGTAGAAAGACATCCCATGTTTGTGATTAGAACTCTGAATATTGTTAGGATGGCCATAGTCCCCAAATTGATCTATAGATTCAACACCAGCTGTATCAAAATCTCAAGGGCTTTTTTAGAAATGGAAAAGGTAATCTTAACAATTATAAAGAATTGCAGAAGACCCCAAGTAACCAAGGGAATCTTGAAGAACAAGTTGGAGAATTCATACTTCCTGATTTGAAAACTTGCAACAAAGCCGGAGTCAAGACAGTGAGGTGGGGGCAGGGGGACAGGGTCTTTTCAATGGCGTGGACCTGAGAGTCCAGCTACAAACTCCTACACTGTGGCACTGGGTTCTTGACAAGGACACCAAGGTCATTCAATGCAGACAGAATGGTCTTTTTGACAAATGGTGTCAGAAGGATATCCGCATGGAAAAGAATGAAACTGGGCCCTGCCTCATACCATATGCAAAAGTTAACTCAAAATGGATCAAAGGCCTAAATATAAGAGCTACTACTATAAAAATACTGGCTAAATCTAGAAAAAAAGAAAAACAAAATCTTTACGACCAGATTCTTAGAAATGACCCAAAAGCAGAAGTAGCCAAAAGTTAAATAAATAAAATTTCATCAAATTAAAAACTCTTGTGCCTCAAAGGACCCCATCAAGAGGGAACAATGGAGGCGAGCATAGTGGTGTAGCAGGAAAAGCATCCCACGTCCCAGCTGCTCCACTTCCAACCCATCTCCCTGCTAATGGTCTGTTTAGAGCAGCAGAAGGTGGCCCAACTACTTAGACCCCTGCTACCTGCATAGGAAACCTGGAAGAAGCTCCTGGCTCCTGGCCTCACCCTGGTCCAGCCCCATCCATTGTGGCCACCAGTGGGTGGAAGATCTTTCTCTACCTCTCCCTCTGGAACTCTGACTTTCAAATAAATAAATACATCTTTAAAAAGAAAAGAGTAAAAGACAGCCTAGGGAATGGGGGAATACTTACAAACCATATCTTAAAAGTGCCTAGTGTCCAGAATATATGAGTATAAAGAGCTCTTACAGCCCAACAACAAAACAGATCATCCAATATGGGCAGGAGACTTAAACAGCATTTCTCTAAAGGAAACATACAAAGGGCCAACAAAGACACGAAAATATGCTAAATGACTATCATTGATCATCAGGAAAACATAAGTCAAAACCATGATGAGAAACCTCTCATATCTGTGAAAATGGATAGAATTTGTTTTTAAAAGGGGAGTAAGAAACAATGGTTAAGGGTACAGAGAGGCTGGAACCCTCCTACGCTACTGGTGGGAATGGCAAGTGGTACCATCACTGTGGCAGACAGCATGGTTAACATCCCTCAAAATGTTACCCTGAATTCTGATAGGACCTCGCAATCCCACTCCTAGGTATATAGGCAAATGAATCGAAGACAGGCATTCAAACAAAACTCACACGGGAGTATTATTCATGGTGGCCCTATTCACAAGAGCTAAAGGGGGAAGCAGCCCAAACAGCCATCAGCTGGTGAGTGCATCCGCAAGAGGTGCATGCGTACAGGGCGATGCCATTCGGCCACGAGACAGCAGCAGGTGCAGTGCGGACACGCACTGCAGCACGGGTGAACCTGGGAGACGGGGAGCCGAGCCAAAGGCACCATCACAACAAGCCGTGTTGCATAACACCATAGACGTGAAACACCCAGACCAGCAAATGCAAAGTAACAGTAGATCCGTGGTTGCAAGGGCCTGGGGAAGGGGGCTGGGAAGGGACTCCTTGGTGGGTCAAGGATTTCCTTTGCGGTGATGAGTGTTCTGAAAGTAGTGGTGACGGTTGTCCAACATTGTGAATGTACAAAATACCATTCAGCTGTGCCCTCAGAAATGGTCGAGATGGTAAATGTTAGGTGTGTATCACAGTACCCACCGGGCGCCCAGAGCATAATGGGAACAAGCCCAGGAAGGCAGGCGACCTTGCCTGCCAGACCACGAGACCGTGGAATCATGGGTGATGAGGAGCAGGGGGTGGCATGGGAAATCGCGGGGCATGTGGAGGATGGGTGTGAGAAGCGAGAGAAAGCCAGGGCTTGTTGATGTTGAAATCCTGATGAGGAGAGAGAGGCTGCTGGGAGCCGGAGGCCTCCCGGGCACAGGAAGCCGGTGTGTGCTGAGCGCTTCCTGTGAAAACATGGGCTGGGGCCT